TAGTGATAGCTACTTCATTCATATGTTGATGTTTCCCGCTATGCATGCTGTGGAGGAGAACACGAGGTCTGCCACATCTGTTCCGTGTTCGAATGCTTAATATACTATAATACTCGGCACTTACGGCCATTGAGCAGTGAAAAATCTTTTATCGTGCCAGGACCTACTGCGACATGAGACCTCGGTTTATGCGATCTCATCCAAAGGACCGTCTCCACGTCCAACAGTGGGATTCAAACCTGTGACGTCTAAGGATCAACTCTTCACTCAGCGACTCAGAAGTCATGGAGTTTATGATTGGGGTCATTTTTCAACAGTCTGGATATTTTTCTAATATCTTATGACCTCAACATGTTTAAAATTGACCCAGTTGAATATTGACCCGAACTAGGGAGTTGTGAATTGTCTTTACTCAGATATTTTAATATCATGGAGATTAACTGTGTCTATATAAGTATATATTTATATTTCAATTCATTTTTTTTCTTAGAATAAAAGAAAATAGGCACATCAACCCGAGTATGGAACTTAGTTGTTGATAAGTACAGATTTAACTTATTTTCATGCATAACATTTACTTTTGACACCACTTTCTGAATTTCACAGCATGATAAATAATAAACATCTGTAGGTAGGACAGCTGCAAATTCCAGAGGTTGGATAAAGTGTCTAGGAGTCAGCATCACCTGTTGACTCGTCACACCTGCCTTGAGCCTTTATTTTTGGTGAGGTAGTCATAATATTCCCTCGTCAAATTAGATATAAAAACAAAAACGTAAGAATTGTTATAAAACACCTTGCCCAATTCCTGCAACATTAACTTAACTGACAATAGCCTCGAAATAAATATTTACTTGGAGCATGTCCTTGAATTAAATGGTACATGTATATGTAAAAACTATATATAGGCGCTAGAGGGATATTACTTCACAAAAAAGATGGAAATAAAATCATCTGGTTTTCATACACAATTTAGTTGTTAATTGATTTTTATTATCTATAGTCAGTAAAACCTCCAAATCTAAACAATTTTAGCAAAATCTAAAATCTGTTATTTTAAAGATTCTGAATTAAACTGAATTCATTGTGTGTACGTAATCAAAACGTTTGGATCAAAGTGGATGTGGATGTGACAAGTCAACAAGGGATGCTTACTTCTCATGATTCCACCTTTAGAATTTCCAGGGGTCCATGTTTTATGTCCCATGTACAAAGTTATAACATGTTTAGATAGATCACTAGATACGTGCTGCTTGCTCTTCCTTTTTTTCTTTAATGGGGGAGACAAATTCTTTGAATTGGGTTGTTTTTTTTTAAATAAGCTGTGAAACGATTTCCATATTTAATTTATGAGATTGTCAATTTAAATATATCACTAAACACACATCTTGGGATATTATCATCTTCAAATTTCATAATTAAATAACCAGACTACTGTAAACGTATTACATTTGGCTGTGTATTCCTTTTAGCGCCTTTCACGGAAAGCAGCCTCCGCTAAATGCTTTGTGTATACTCAGTATTCAATTTCCCCAAAAATATTCTATACGCCAAATATAATACATTTATAGTATATTGCTCATGTGGACCATTAGAAGATTCATACCTTATTCATATCTTTTATTAATAATTCATCACATCTTCTGATGAAATATAAAGGATTTTTACATATCATGTCATTGTAATTAACATATTACAATATACTTTAATACATATTCATTGAAATTCTATGTGCACATTTAATAATTTGTTCACAAGTCAATAAATTGATTTTTAAAATATTTACATCTTGTTTAAAGATTTAGCACTTTAATTATCTTAACATTCATTACCGTTAAAATAATAAAATTATAAAAATACATAAGTACAAAAATAATCTTTTTCTAACCCTGGCAAACCATCACATACTAATCTACATGAAGGATATGGAAATAATGAACATTATTCATTCGCAACGTCCATTAAACAATATACAAAATAAGAGCAGAGCAAACACGGACCTCCGAAACATCAGAGGCGGGATCAGGTGCCATGGAGGAGTGCGCATCCCCTGCCGACCGGTCACACCCGCCGTGTGCTCGTTGTCATAATCAGAAAATAACGGAAAAAATCTGTCGTCAATTCAGTGTATAAATAATGGACAAACAATTGGTATGAAAAACGTCAGTCAGCATTTCATTCAATGATAAATTGTATTTGCTGACAAGGTCATTGTATCGACCATAGAATTTACGAAATGATGACTTTAAACGAGACTGTTGATATTCTTGTTTCATCAACTTGCTTGTCAATAATTTACCTCGTGTAAGAAATTGTTTATACGTAGAGCATGCTCTTGCGTATCGAATCAATTGAGATATATATACTCCGTATGCAGGTGATGAAGGTATAATGCTGCATAAGCAAGGGACGTTGACGATAGAAAAGTTAAAGTCATTACGTTTATCATATAGCTTGGTTGTTAGATTACCATTAGTGTCTTTTTCAAGTAAAATATCAAAGTAAAAAGCAGAAGTGTCGGACTCTGTGGTCTCTTTCATCTCAAGCTCACTAGGATATATTGTGTCGACGGAGGAATGGAAATTATCATTATTAATTGACAGTACGTCGTCGATACATCTAAATGTCGAGTTGTGGGCCACAGCTACTGTTTTCTTCTTTTCACGCAGAAGATTTTGCATAAATTCTGCTTCATATGAATATAAAAATAAGTCTGCTAATAAGGGAGCTCAATTTGTACCCATGGGAATTCCAATAGATTGTCGGAATACCTGGTCTCCAAACACCACATAGATATTGTCAATCAGAAACTCAAGCATCTTCTTGATGTTTACTTCAGAGTGCTTATGTGTGCAATCAGAATCTGTTTTAACAAAATAATTTTTCAAATGACCAATGACGAGGTAAGTAAATTTACAAGTTCCATTTTTGTTGAAGAAGCAGCTGTCAATAATATCAAAAAGCCTGGATTTTAATTTGTCATGGGGAATAGTTGTGTATAAAGTTGAAAAGTTGTAAGTTTTTAAGTTGTTGATTTTTGTAAAGTCTTGTGATTTCAAATTATCTTAAAGTTCTTTAGAATTTTTAAGTATTCACATCTGATTTAGAAAACTTCTTTATTATATAGTTGTACAATACTTTTGAAGTTTTTTCTTCACTACTGTCAATATTTTAGTGAGAAGTAACGAAAGAGGCTTGGTTGAACATTTACTGGAACCTGCAATATATCTTTGTTTGTAAGGATTCTTATGAAGTTTCGGAATCTAATATATATAAAGTAGTTTAATTCTATTTTGGCTCTGTGGAATATTAAAAGTATTCAAAACTGACAAGTGATTTTGAAGAATTTCTTCCTTAAAAAGAGAAGTATGAGTTTAAGTAGGATTACCACTCGTAGATTCAAATCCAAGTTCTTCTAGAATGTAATTTATATAAAGGAAGACAATGTTGTTACCTGCTTTGCCGGCAGGAACCAGTACGTCCTGATCGTGTAATCTATCTAATTCTTTTTTCACTTCTGGTTTATTGAACACAGAAGGATAGATGGTTTTCATTTTGCCCCTCAATCTTTTAATAAGTGACTTTAACATGGATCTGATACATTTAATGACAAGGTGTCAATGTCTTATTTTTCATATCTGGCCCATCGTCTGGCATAATTTTCAACAGGATCCATTATATTTATGAAATTCCGACGCCAGTTGAAGGATCCGGGTTCCCTATATTTTGGACCTTTTAAAATAAGTGCTCTAAGGCCCTCATTACGAACTATTCTTACGTCACCCGTAGTAAAGTGTCCAGCATGACTATAGTTATAGGGCGAAGAAGAACATGAACACGAAGGGGGATTATTTTTCAGATAGTCGATATCCAGGCCATGTAAAGTGTTTTTGTAATTGAAAAGTTTGGAAGCAATGGTCGATGTATATTTGTAGGAAATACAAGGTGAAGTCTTTAACTTGAAATATGGTGAAATACAATACTGGACCCTTTTGTGATTAAGAATATTACTAATATTAACCGCGTCAATTCCTTTATTGGCATTTTGAAGTTTAAGGAAAAGACGGGTTGTTTTAGCTGCATTTTCTTCCTTGTAACGTGCGGGTTTAAAAAGCCTATGATATGCAATATCCATAATCACAGAACCAAGCCTAAATTCAGGTGTCGAGGAATCTAAAAGTGTATCATATCAATCTACATGTATCATACTGAGAAATGAATCACAATAGAAATTCATATATAAAAATTATTACAAAAATTAAGTCATTATTAATGACAGATATGGATTTCATCAATGCATTTTTATGCAAATTTGTTCTAAAATACATTTTATGATTTGTTAATGGATATGTTTTTAAATACAGTCACTGATGATTCTAATTGTCCATTCTTGTCACGTGTCCATGTTGGCAAGAATTCTGGAGACCTTTGACCTTTGACTTGAGGTCATGTGTTGTGTGATGTGGACAATGGAATCCATGGCAACCTCTTAATTGTTTTGTATCAAGCTGTCAACAAAAACAAAGTGTGTTTTTTTTAATATGTTAATAGCATAAGTTTATCAATTAAAGGGAGACAATATGAAAATCTTTTTGACAAAAACATGATTTTTTAAGATAAATCCCAACTCAGAATATCAGGCCTATGGAACCAATAAATAACTAATGGTAATACAGGTAACTCTCGATACCTCGAAGTCCGCGGGACCGAGAGAAAACTTCGAGAGATCAAGAGTTCGAGATTTCAAGAGTCCGGAATTTTCCGGGTTTGTGGACCGATTTTGAAATTAGTCTTACCGGATGTAATAATTGTTATGCATGTTACACATTCTTGGAATGAAAACGACATTTTACCGCGTCGTACACAGCATTGACAAGTACTTCAAACATGATAATTGAATGTTGAACGAAGTTCTGTAAGTATTTGTGCAACAACAGTCGTAATATTGACATTGAAGCTGATTCTGCATTTTTGTCCCCCGCTTGAAAAGTGGGGGATATTAATTTGGGTTTGTCCGTCCGTCCGTCCGTCCGTGTTTACGAGAGTGCATTTATTGGGTATTTTTCATGCCAAGATTGTACTTATTGGGTACTTTTTGCTTATTGGGTATACCCAATAAGAAGTGTCGCTGAATATGCTTAAAACACCCTAATTGGGTATTTGCAGGTTAGTACCCAACAAAACTTGGACACGACGATTTGTCCAAAAAAGTGTCCAAAAAAGTTGCTTTCACGGACGCACCGTGTTTTGTTGTTTCAGTTTTACATTCGGAACTCTAAATTCTCGAGAGTTCCGAAAATCAACTTCCGTTGATCCTGATCATAACAACGTTTGTTTTCATGGAAAAAAAATATGGCGACTAAGAAACACTTGATGTCAACAAGATTTTCTGATTGACAAGAGAAAAGGTAAGTTTATTCGATTAATATTTATTTATTGCTGGGTTCTTGTTTAAGGAAAATAGATTTTAATGTAATTTTTGAAAACAATTGTGCACAAAATTAAAATAGATATATCGGAACAATTAATCCTAAGTTGCACTTATTTGTATTTTGAATTTTCTCTGTCTTTTTAACTCTCTTGAGGGCGAGAAATATTTAGTAAATGATCGTGTATTGTTAGATAATCTTTAATAAATCGAAAGTGTTTATTATTGAATTTTATATCATAACAACTTACTATAGTATGTTTTGACAATGTATAATGAAAAGGGAAATGAAAATTTTAACAATCGTGTGTTCATAAATCAGCTGTAAATTATCGGTTCATGTAGACAGTATTACAATCGCAAAGTGAGCCGAGATGATGATAAATGGGATAATTGACAACAACTAAATACTTGTATATAAGTTTATCTCATCTGATATGTAACTTAAGAGATTCATTGTATTACTGAAAAACTTTCAGTAAAAACAGTGCTTCTTTCTGTCTTTGATTTTGACTGAGTATCTGCTTTATTTTGATTTTTCTTTAATTATTGTTTTTGTCATTTGTTTTAATTAATTTAAAACAATACTGAAATTGATATAGGGCTACTATGACTATTTCACATGATGGGTGTGTAATTAGCATTGCGCTACACCCGAGGCTTCCATTTTTGAGGATGGGGCTAGTGGTTTTCTGCACTGAGGAATCCCCTTTGGCTATTAGGAATTATAAAATACACATGTAATACATGAAAAGCACCACCGGTATTTTCACTCTTTTTTGCTATTAAATTCCCTAATATGGAAGTATTCCAGACAGCATCCTCATATTATCCATAAATTTCCACAACTGCATCCATTTTGCAGTACTACAAGGCTGATTTACTAAAAAAAAAACGATCTTTTATTTCCTAATTTGAATTCCCCCTTTCCTTTAATTAATATAGCAATATTTGCATGTACATATATGCCTCACAGATATCTCAATATTAAATTATATACATTTACTCAATCAGCTCAATGATAAGTGTCATGCAATTATGTTGCGCTTTTTTTATTTAAAGCCATATATGACGTAACTGATAAAAAATATATTTTTGAAAAATACAAAATTAAGTAAAGAAATATAGTTAATACATTTAAATTAAAGCTTTTCATACAATTCGGAGCGCGGAGAACACCTCGTTTTATCTAATAATACGATTTTATCTTCTCTGTAATGTGTTATTTAAATCTTCTGTATTTTCTTCCAAGTCGGAGAAAATTCCGAGAATCCAAATTAAATTTTGATATCTTTATAACGCAATCGACTTAGATTTTGTAATTTACGGAAAATTTCTATCTTTATCATGTTTATATAAAGTAATGATACAAATTATAAGTTCTTATAATTTTAGTTTAATAATTTTCATTGTACATACGCCATATTGCTTTAAATGATTCAAGATGAAAACAAAATGATTTTTGCTTCGTTTTAATTAGACGAACTAGTGAATGACCAGAGAAGGAATATTTAAAATCTTTTTTCATTTTTTTTTAAATCATTAATTTATATATTTTATATAATTGAATTTTACAAGCGAAAATTAAATTAAACTTTTATTTTAAAAAGAATCATCTGTAGTTAATACCCAGGGGCCCGATTCATCAAAGGTCGTACGCCCAGTCGTAGCGCTACGCCGGCGTAAAGTCGGACTAGCACGAATATTTGTTTCATTAAAGAGCGTATCGTTACACCTGACTAAATTTAGGCCAAAATTTTACGTCTACTCATGGGTAGGCGTAAGTTAGGGCGTAAAGTTAAAATAAGGCCTTTTTATAAATTTTAGCGAGTTCTAAAGAAAAAGTAAGGTTCCTTGATAGTTAAGTTCAAGAATGAATTATTCCCAATTTTTTTTTTCTCAGACAAACATTGATGCAGAAGACATCTTTAGTTTTCATAATTTTGTTTAAAAGAACAAATCTTACATAGTATAAGATAATCTGAGCGCATATAAAGCACATATAAGATGAAAATATACATGTTTTTGATTTCCTGCATTACTTACATTTTAATGAAAACAAAATAAAGAGTAGCTGTAACTAAATTTTAAAGACAGAGACCACACAAGCAGAGAATTTTTGTAAGAATATCTTTGTAGTCATTTTTCCAAACATCTCTCTCTCTCTATCTCTCTCTCTCTGCGTACTTTTAAAACGGTACATCACATTTAATCTGCAGATAGTGAAGAATTTTTTTCTATAACTGAACAATTATGAATCAATTGAATTGACAAAAAATTAACAGAGAGCATTATCTTACATGTACCATAGTAGCAAACGTGTAAAATTTATTTCTTGACTCAAACTTTGTTCATATGTAAACCATTTGCATTTTGTTTTCATTATTTTTGCTTGCATATACATTTCTTATTAAAATTTTTAAATCTTATTCTGTCTCAAACTTAACTAGGGCTAATTGTAACGGGAACCGTTACAGATGTTCCCCAAACGCTCCCCAACTCCCTTTTGGTGCCATACTCCCTTTAAGCTTCATTAAAAACAACAAACTCTATGCATTTTACACTTTAACAACGTTTCCCTGAAGTATACCGAGTATATTCAAATGTTAGCATTTGCACGCGTGCACATGTAAATGCATGTGCGTAATGACCATATTCTCTTGTCTACACTATCTATATACATTAATATAATAAAATAATAAAGCATTTAATCCAAAAGTATTAAAAAATACGCTTCATCAAGTGTATTTTTGATTTTATCCATCTCATGTGCATGCACGTGCATGCATGTGCATGATGACCTTACCTTTTTGTAGGAATCCACTATGTCTATCTATGTTCTAAATCCCATCCTGTTTGGTTGAAAATCAAAGGAGTTATACCCATTTAAAGTTTAAGCCAATCAGATTGCAGCGCACGTGCATGCGCGTGTTTTCATGATACCTACTATATATTATATTGTAGTATATCCTAATGCATGACTATGTTTAAAATTTCAAAGCATTTCGTCAAAAAACGAAAGAGATATTTAAATCTTTGTTTCAGCCAATCAGAGGGAAGCGCACGTGCATGCACGTGAGTTCGTGCTAATTTGAACATGTCATATTATCTAGACTATAAATATATCCTTATAGAATGAGTTTCAAAGCATTTCAATAAAAAATGTAAAAGTTATGGCTATAATAAGTATATCAGTCATTTCACTCATTTCACGCGCACGCACGTGCATGCGTATGCGCGCAAAATGACCTTCGTTGTGCACACCTACACTTGACACCTATTAACCCTAAAAAGGTTTTAACTTAGTTGGGTGAACAGTTTCTGAGAACACTCGCGGACAAAAAAAGTACCGGAGAACAAAGAAGAAAAAAAAGAATAATAATAATAATAATAATAATAAGAAACCGAGTAAAAACAATATGTTCCCAAACTCCGTTTGGGGAACATAATTATTAGTATTTGTCAGTAGAATCAGTATTTATCGAATCATGAAATTTATTATCAAAGGCGAAGTTATAAACCTGTATCAATTTCGGGAAGAGGGGGTTTGGCTGTAATTAAATTTCCAAAATGAATAGTTTTGCTTAATTCCGAAATACAAGTACATGTTCTGTGACCTTTTCATCCTTTCAATTTATTAGACTTTTATTATTGAAATATTGTAAAAAACTAAAATTGGTTTCTTAAAAGATGCATGTCTCTTACATAACACTATATACCCATGCATGTTTCAATTAGTGCAAGTATTAATTTATCTATAACTTGTGTTATTGCAGCCCGGAGGACCGGGCTGCTCTATACATATAAGTTTAAGTGTTGGTGTATGGGGATTGGGGTGGGAGTAGTTATTTAGAATTAAAGGTTTTCTAAACATTGAAAAGACTGTTTATCAGAATGGTCTTTCAGTTTATAAATTACGAGATACATAATATAATTACTTCCATAAAGTGAATCTGTAAAAATATATACGTTTTTCATATATATAGTTGCTTATCATTTTCTATCGAAAAAACGACAGATCCTTTTTTTAGAACATCGAATTTTACTTCTCGGATAAAAACGTACTCTGCACAGTTCGTGTTTTATATTATAAAATTGAAAATAATACATTTTTAGATATAGGTGATGCGTGTGTCTAACTTGAATTTATACTTTATACAGCCAACATTTACTTGAGGAATTGATCAAGTTTAAAATGGTATCGTTTTTTAATAATTTTTATCCGACTTTAAGTTCGACTATCGTCTCCATCAATTAGACGCATGCGTTTTCACTCATATCGAAGTGGTTTGATGATCAAGACTCATTTTCATTGTTTACTTTATATATTTCCCGGGCGACTATTGATGGTTACATCAATGTTTTCTTGTTCTGTACTTTGACGTGCTACAATTTATACATGTTTGTACGCTTTGGGCAATGTTTATGTTTTTGCGCCTGCGCAATGCAATGTTGTCAAGCACTTGGTCCTGTGACTAAGCGTATCTTTTACGACTAGACTTACGCCACTTGGTGAAACGCAAATTACGCCCGACTAAATTTTGGCGTAATCCCCGGAAGTACGCCAAAGTTAAGGCTTAACTTTACGACTTTTGATGAAACGGGCCCCTGACTTTTTTCACGATGAACTTTTTTCAATGTATACTTTTTAATTTTTGCCTCTATATTTGGGCTTGTCACTTTTTACTCGGGGATAGTAACTTTATTGCCACAAAGCTGTGGATTAGTACTTTGATTTCCTTTATTGCACAGCGATGACTATGATTCAATAGCACAAAAAGCTAATGGGTTTACGTATGTGAATTTATATGATTAATGCTAACTTGTGATTTTAGGATAACTGCAGATAATGATTCCTTTTTTCCATTGATACTACATAAATATTTTCCTAAGTATTATGTTACAATAAATTGGTTTAGATTTTTTTTTTATATAAAAGTAATCAATGATTACAATGGAAATTAAAACCATAATCATGCTCATTGAGGATTTTCAATATGTAACAGGTCAAACAGGAACTTCAATTGTGAACATTGCAGAGAACACACTCATCAGAAGATGACCCTCAGAAATAGGACAATTGTAAGTAATCAGTAAAATGAACAGGAATACTTCATGCCAACCATAAGATTTTTAGAGACATTTTCGCTCCTTAAATTAGAAGAGATAGAGGGAAAAACTTGTACATACTAAATAACTACTAGGCAACCAACCTTTAACTGCAGGAAAGCTTTGCCATCGACTTCTTTTACGCCATAGCATCTAGTCATTACCTACATAAAACCTCTTTGGTATTCATGTTAAGTTTGAGAAAGTACCTTAGTATTTTTTCTAGTGTTTGCCAACATTTTCATGCACACTGTTTGCTTGTTTGTACTATCATTTTATTTTAAATTCTTCAGATGCCCTTTACCTTTGCCAGTTTAGAATCATTTGTTTTAAGGGCATCTGAGGGTTGGTTCCAAAACTTAATTAATTGTAAAGTAAATACTGGGGTACTATACGGTCATAGGTTATGTTAATACATGTATAACAATTTTGTTATGATAGAGGTGGCATACAGGAAAAGAAATAATACTAGATATCACTTCAAAGGAATAAAACAGCTTCATCTTGTAGCTGTATTTTATTTAAGGAACACTACTTCATGTCTGATGTGCTGAAAGTTTTTCATAATCTGTTTGACTGTAATTTTTCATATTTTCAACTTCTATCCAGCGTAGTCAATTTTAATTAAATTTTGTGCAAAGCATACCCCAGGAAGGGGGGATGGAGTTTCAAGTGTGTCTCTGTCCCTGTCAATATAATTTCAAAGCAGTTAGTAAGGTTTGGGTCAATTTTAAATCCTCTTTAGCGAACCATTGGGCAAAAAACAATACTAATGTGAAAGCTTTATCATTAAGTGTAGAAATGTTTTAGATTACATTAGAAGTCTAAAATTTGCAAGGAATAGGTGTAAAACCTTTTTTAAAATCTACTTCTTAACAATCAGAAACTAACATACTGTCTAATTAATATGCAACATCGTTTTGTGTGTTGAATGATGATTCCATTTTGATAGAATTATGGCAGATGGGGGCTAGGATGAAGATGCAGTTAGACATAGAAGAAAAAAAAGAGTTGATAGAATTTAGTTTTTCTTCCATTTTATTTATCAATACATATTTCTGAATAAGAAATATACTTCTACTTCTTGGTTGGGTTTGATCAACATAAAGGGTGATCTTGCTGTAGTCAAGAAAAACATGTTTTATACGGCAAAGAAATGCCTTTATCTAATTGCAGAATGAATAAAATGGACAGAGGCAGAACTGAAGGAGATGCATGAAATGAGGAATATTTCAAAGATTGCCTGAGCATAACCACTGCTACTGGATAAGCATATATCAATATAAAAGAGCAGGGTCAATGGAGGTATCATACAGTATAGGCCATGAGAGACCCTGAAGAAGAAAGTATTGAACAGAAACAAAAATAAAACCATTTTGACATTTATTGAAATATAGGATCAAAGTCTTACATGTAAAATTTGGGCATATAATGACTTTTCTCCAGCTCTAAGACTTATAACAGTGATGATTTAATTGAATATCTTTATCCCGATTTGTCGAAAAGATTTGGACATAGTGCCTCAATTATTTTAAAGTTTTGATACAACGAATTCATTCATTGTACTTGTAACTGAGTTTTCTCAGTGACACTGTTTTATCGGCTTCGAAACTAAGTTTGTGATTTCCAAACCAGATTAATGAGATCGTGTAATATCTTTTAACATCGGTGACTATTTAATCCATTCTTTTACATCTCAGAAGTATTTTTATTGTTACAGGGAAAATATGCATTGTACATGTATCTGTAATAAACAGACTTATAGAAAATTTCCATATAATACAACACAATCTTAGCAACTGAAGGCAAAATTTTATCAAGGGTGTGATCTATTTATCGATATGGTTTTCAGCATCTTGCTCTACCTGTAATGACTTGCTCCAAGTTCCAATATTAAAATTTAAATTTTGCAAACATGATTATAAAATTCTTTAAAAGCCAAATAGTTTAGGCACAAAATGCTTATATATTTCCTATTATTTGTAAAGTGTACACTGAATGAGATGTGGAATGTTAGAATTAAAGTATTGAATATGTTTTGGACTTATGTATGCTTATGCAGATAAATTTGAATTCAACTAGGGAAGGTAAATGTCATACTTATTGGGTTTGCAATCTAATGCAAGAGTATAAATATCCAAGACAAATTTGACAATTTTAATGAAGGGTATAAGTAACCCAAGAAGAATTGGACAGGTAAACATCACCTGTTCGGTTTTATTTTAATGTTGGGATGTAGTATCCAAGAAGAGTTGAACCAATGTCCAATACCTATTGGGTTTTCTTTCTTATGAAAAAAAAATTGAGTAACCCAAGAAGAATGTCCAATACCTTTTAGTTTATATTCTATTGAAGGGATGAAGATATCCAAGAGGAATTGGACAGGTGTCCATTACATGTTGGGTACTATTCTGATGAGGGGATTATCAAGAAACCCAAGAATTAGACAAGTGTCCATTGCCTGTTGGGTGGGATGTAGTAATCCAAGAGGAGTTGGACGGATGTCCATTACCTGTTGGATGGTATTCTGATGAAACAATTTCAGAAACCCAAGAAGAATTGGACAAGTGTCCATTACCTGTTGGGTGAGATTTAGATATCCAAGAGGAGTTGGGCAGGTGTCCATTACCTGTTGGGTGGTATTTTGATGAAACAATTCAAGAAACCCAAGAAGAATTGGACAAGTGTCCATTACCTGTTGGGTTGGACGTAGATATCCAAGAGGAGTTGGACAGGTGTCCATTACCTGTTGGGTTGTATTTTATGAGGAGATTCAAGAAACCCAAGAATTAGACAAGTGTCCATTGCCTGTTGGGTGGGATGTAGATATCCAAGAGGAGTTGGACGGATGTCCATTACCTGTTGGGTGGTATTCTGATGAAACAATTCAAGAAACCCAAGAAGAATTGGACAAGTGTCCATTACCTGTTGGGTGGGATGTAGATATCCAAGAGGAGTTGGACAGGTGTCCATTACCTGTTTGGTTGTATTTTGATTATGCAATTCAAGAAACCCAAGAATTAGACAAGTGTCCATTGCCTGTTGGGTGGGATGTAGATATCCAATAGGAATTGGACAGATGTCCATTACCTGTTGGGTGGTATTCTGATGAAACAATTCAAGAAACCCAAGAAGAATTGGACAAGTGTCCATTACCTGTTGGGTGGGATGAAGATATCCAAGAGGAGTTAGACAGGTGTCCATTACCTGTTGGGTTGTATTTTGATGAGGAGATTCAAGAAACCCAAATAGAATTGGACAATGTACACATGTTCAATTGTTCTTGGGTAGTTTAATCCCTTCGTCAAAATACAACCCAACAGGTATAGGACACCTGTCCAATGCCTGTAGGATACCTTCATTCTGTCAAACATGTAATGGGCATTTGCTTATTATTAATTGGTCATGACTCAAAAAGGTTTCTCCTTAAATACTTAATTTTGTTATTCAAGAAAGGTTGAACAGAGTCTGAGATGTGTTGAGTTGTGTTTTCACAATTCATTTTTTTTTTGCACTTAGGTATTCATATATTTTAATATTAGTTATTTTGAAATATACAGGTGTTTATCCTTATTGCTAAGAACAAATTAGTTTGGTGACACAATAAAAGAGCTATATCACAGAAATTGACAAAAATATGGGTTCAAAACCAAAGGTTTTCAGTCTTGTCTTAATTTACCAGCAAACATTAAATATATAATAAATTTGAAATGAATAAAAAACAATAAGAAAAAACCCAATAAAATACGGACACGAGGATTAATATCCAATAAGATTTGAACAGTAACTACCCAAATAATGCTCTCTCGTGTGTACACTTTTTTTGTATCCAATAAGCAGTATCCAATAGGACTTGGACTTGATGTACCCAATATATAACCAAATGTGTGTCCGTCCGTCTGTCCGTCCGTCCGTCCGTCCGTCCGTCTTTCTGTCTGTCTGTAACGCTTTCGTTTCCACACGACATCTCGAGAACCCTTTGAGCTTTTGCAATGAAATTTAGCATAGCAACTCCCTATGGACTAAAGAAGACCCCTATTGATTTTGAGGTCAAAAGGTCAAAGGTCAAGGTCATAAATAAGCAAATTCTCTCTGTTAAAACACTTTCGTTTCCACACGATATCTCTAGAACCATTTGAGCTATCGCAATGAAATTTTACATAACAACTCCCCGTGGCCTAAAGAAGACCCCTATTGATTTTGAGGTCAAAAGGTCAAAGTTCAAGGTCGTAAATTTATACATTCTGTCTGTGTGTAACACTATCATTTCCGGGCGAAATTTCAAGAAGATTTTGAGCTTATGCAATGTAATTTTATACCAAAACTCCCTAGGACGTCTCTCGCCCCTCTCAAAGTGCCCCGCCCCGTTTGTTTTATTAGTATTTATAGTATTACATGTCGCTATTTTTAGCGCAGGGGCATGTGCGTATAAAACAGGTTCTCGGCGGACTTTATGTTCTTATTACATCTATCATAACTGTTTAATAAAGGCTAAATAAATCAAACACCATGGATTGTGTAAAATTTTGAGAATACCGAACATGAAAACATGAATATACACATGTATGTGACTTCAGTTCTGCATATACTTCACTCCGTTTAAAGCGACTCCTTGGTCTATTGGTTATGTCTCTCGCTTCAAGTGTGAGAGGTCCCGGGATCGAATCTCGGTCGAACCTTTCATTTTTTTTTTTAAATACTTTTTTTTTTTTACTAAATGATAGTATTCAGCATGTGAAATGAAAAATTTATGAGGTTATAAAATCATCATTACAGTGTGATAAATATTCCATATAAAAAATCTTCTATACACATAATAAAGAATAAGCAATCAAATCTTTATATGGATATTGACATACATGTATTTTATTTCCTTCAGTATACATGTATACATTTAATAATTCTACAAATTCAGTCAGGGGGAGCCGACTTTTTCCCTAAGCGGGGGACACGAATTCTCTGAATTAGCTTGTCATATTTCGTTTAACGTTGACGCTGACTCGAAATAAAAATTAAACTATTTAGCTTTTCGTTTTCTTCAATTTACTTCTTTTCATTGACACCGCTTCTCCGAATTATCGTAAGTCAGTTGATGATAATTATTTTAATAGCATATAGGCAACATATAATTAATTCTAAATCAATTATCACCTAGCAGTATAATTGTCACCTGAATAAACATCCCGTTTCTCGAGACCTGCGTCTTCTGCCTGGGGCCATTTAAATGTCCAGGTAAGGTCTCTAATTATGTAACATTGTATACAAATAGCCACTTCGAGGTTTCAAGGGTAAATTCCAATAGAATATGCATAGCGGGACTGCATTTTGACTTCGAGGGATCAAGGGTTTCGAGAGATCAAGAGTTCGAGAAATCAAGAGTAAATTTGCTTAATTATATAGGGGGAAAAATCGGGACCGGAGACTCACTTCGAGCGATCAAGAACTTCGAGAGATCGAAGTTCGAGCCATCAAGAGTTACCTGTATTAAACTGATGTTCAAATATCTCAATCTTCTGATAATCAAATGAAAGAAATGGTAATTTTTAATTGCAGCATTTAAAGGAAAAAAATTCTAAATCGTATACGTAAATTACATGTACAATGTTCCACACTACACTTTAAATGCACTATATTCTGCAAGTGTCTGTTATATATATATATAGTTTATTAGCATGTGGAACCTTTCAGTCACTAATAGAAACTTTCCTATTTTTTGTAAGCTTGTTCATTCTTCTCTACATAAGGAAACGAAATAATACCAACGATTCCCAGGTGAGTAATGAGGTGTCAAATTAAAAATTTTGTAACATAATGTCAAACCTATTAGTCAAACAGAGTTTTTTGGTGTTCTGTTTTCAGTATTCTGTATCTGCCTGTACCTCATGACTTGTTGTAGGACGTACTCCCTCTGAAGACATCTGATACCTACCTCCTGACTTGTTGTAGGACGTGATCCCTCTGTAGACATCTGATACCTACCTCCTGACTTGTTGTAGGACGTGCTCCCTCTGTAGACAGCTGATACCTACCTCCTGACTTGTTGTAAGACATGCACTCTCTGTAGACATCTGATGTTGTCTGATACCTACCTCCTGACTTGTTGTAGGACGTGCTCCATCTGTAGCTAGACATCTGATGTTGTCTGATACCTACCACCTGACTTGTTGTAGGACGTGCTCCCTCTGTAGACATCTGATGTTGTTTGATACCTACCTCCTGACTTGTTGTAGGACGTGTTCCCTCTGTAGACATCTGATACCTACCTCCTGACTTGTTGTAAGACGTGCTCCCTCTGTAGACATCTGATACCTACCTCCTGACTTGTTGTAGGTAGTGCTCCCTCTGTAGACATCTGATGTCTGATACCTACCTCCTGACTTGTTGTAGGACGTGCTCTCTCTGTAGACATCTGATACATGTACCTACCTCCAGACTTG